CAACCTGTTCATTTCGACAATTAACCATTATCTTTCACATCCGTATAAACTACCCCTGAACTGAACATTCTAAATCAAGTGGTCTCCCGGGCCTTTCAATAAAGAATCAACTGAAATTAAAATGAAAGAAATGCTATTAAGTACTATTGAGTAAACGTGTAATTAGAACATCGGGAAGTTGTATGATTTAATATACGTAAAATTATGACAAACACTAATTCATAAAATTACACTTGCGAGTTTAGTTAATCACTGTTAAAACCATTTTGCATATTATTGGGAAAAATTAAATTTCATGCTAAAGAAGATATGGTAGCGTCATGGGTGGAATTTAATGCTATTATAAACCTGTACTTTTGAGTGTAGAAAAAAAAGTGTTAAAGAGATTTAAACGTTTTCGTTTGTATTATTACGACGAGAATCTATTGAAAAATGAAACCAAACATGAAGTTGTAAGAAGCAGGCGGAGATTCGCTTGCAAGAGTCAGAAACAGCATTGTTTGAAACGAGATTAGAACGAGAGTATCGAATGTCGTCGGCGTCGTGAGGAGGAGACAATGAACGGATAGTGTGACGGCGGTAAGTTTCAAAAAGAAAAGAAACAAATCTGGAATTCAACTCTCATATTTAAGAAATAAAAAAAAAGTTAATTACATTGAAATTAATATAAAGCACACGCGGAAATGATACAACAATATAAAAAACAAAAAAAAAAATAAACACTGAAATCTAAAATAGGCTTAAGCAGAAATGAATTCTATAAAACATGATGTATACGCGTACTATGATAAACGTCATATTTCAGCTATTTCAAAGTATAAAAGCAATTTATAAACAATTGTAAATGAATTGCACACACACGCACATACTCACATACACACACATCTAACTATCGACTAATAAAATAAAAAAAGAAAAGAAAAGAGGAAAATGAAGCATCTTTTATTCTAAGAAGAAAATATCAAGACAGACATCTACCTAAATAGTAAACGTTATTTTTAGTGGATACTCGTATTTGAGTAGACGCTCCGTTTATTTATTAAACAGTATATTTATTTATTTTCATGTACCGTCCTGAATATTTGACAGATCTTATTAAAACTTATTCGAATCCTCACAGAATGTGCATCTTATTCTTTAATAATATTTATCGAATATTCAGGCGGTTTGAATAATAAATATACTCTTTAATGAATAAACGGTGTGTCTGCTCAGATATGGGTATCCACTAAAAAACTCTATATAAAAGTGATAATATATATATATATATATATATATATATATATATATATATGTCTAATTTTGTATAATTTTATATATCAACAATCATTGGATTCTATTTAAGAGCACTCAGAATTTGCAGCCCTCAATATTTACACAAAGAGGAGAAATATATTGAAAATACATTCACGACCCTTTAATACCTTACCTATTTCATTTTCAATGCGAAACAAAAGGCTCACAAAATATTACAAAATAGCATAGCTGTCCTTCCTGACAAACCTAACGAAACAAAAAGATATATTAATCTACCCACTAAATCTATCACAACTAAAGTATTTATCTAAACTCAAAATAAAATTTGTCGCAACTACATCGAAAAACAAAGAGTTAATCAATAAAGAACCTGTCAAAACTTGAAGCAAAAATTTACTCTATCAAATGCAGGAATTGCCAGAATGAATACATTGAAGAAACCTCAAGTAATTTAAACATGAGACTATATGAACACAAAAGGATCATTTTAAATAACAATGCATAAAACATATCGGTTGTTCACCGTAACAAAATGGACTACAATTTTGACATAGGGAATGCTATTTTGATTAAAAGAAAATATAATCCACTGAGACGAAAATATCTAATTTAATTTAGATTTAAATATTTTTATATATAGTGCTCAATATTAAAACATTAAAATAATATTCAAATATAGCACTAATGTTATATAAAAAATTACTTAGCTAACTTTAAATACCAATTTTTTGTTGTCCTTTTCACCGACTTCGATGTTTCTTCGTAATCCTTTCTTGAAGTGGTTCTGCATTTTAAAAAAACGGGGAAAACAGCAACAAAAAATTGATATTTTGAAGTTAAAGGTAAATATATATATATATATATATATATATATATATATATATATATATATATAAAAAAGAAATATAGTCTTAAGGTGCGCTATATTTATGGGATAAAAAGTGCTCAACATCAGAGATAGAGCGTGTGTAAATATAAAAGTGAACATAGAAGTCAAAACTTAGAGGCGACAGTCTGTTTCATGCTATATGCAATCGTCAGGCCACGTGCTCTGACGATTGCATATAGTATGAAACAGACTTGCATATGTTGACTTCTATGTTCACTTTATATATATATATATATATATATATATATATATATATATGGTGCATTTTGTGGTGGATAGTTAGACAACTCTTCTACTTCATCTCCTCGTCCACCTCCTTCAAATTCTTCAGGACGTGTGCGATCATAGCTCCCCACAACATGTGGCATGAACCAACCGTTTATGTTGTTTGATTTTCGATAATAAGTTTTCCAGACAGAAATATAATTTACCGATGGATTGTCTTTTAACTTTATTTTAGCTGGTCTTTTCTAGAAACTGATATTTTCCAAAATAATTTTTTAAAAGAATCAATATATTTCCAATATATTGTTGATGATTTATTAATAAACCCCGGCAAAATGGTATTTCAATATGGTCTGGTGAAATGGTATTTCACATACACACACATCTCTCAACTAATAAAACAACAAAAATAGAAAATAAAAATAAAACATCAAGACAGGCATCTATCTAAAGAGTAAACGCTATTTTTAGTGGAGACACGTATTTGAGTAAACGCTCCATTTGTTTATTAAACAGTATATTTTTTATTTTCCTGTAACGCCCTGAATATTCAACAGATCTTATTAAAGCTTATTCGAATCCTGATGGAGGTTGCTGGGCATTGCAGGATCTTAGTCAACCTATGAAATTTTCAGCTCAGCCTCCTACCTGCAAAAGAAACAATGCAGTTATTCATCAGAAGAGTTGAAATGAATGCATAGAATTTATCACAGCTCTAGTATCTCTGCTTCTTAGTCAGCCTATGAACTTTACAGCACCCCCTCATGAAATCACTGTTTCTTTCCAGGTAAACTGACATCTGACAGTTCAAAGAAGATCCCAATAGTAACTGATACCGACTTCTCTTGAAAATGGCATGGTGTTATCAAGTACTTACAGTAAAAAGATTTAACTCCCAAGGAAATTCACGCTGACGTGGTTGCTACATTAAGGGGTGACGTTTATGCTTTATTAACAGTGCAAAAGTGGACAGCTGAATTTTTTAGGGGAAGTCAGAGTCTTGAAAATGACGCAATGACTCGATGTCCTGCATCTGCCACAACCGAGGAAAATATTGATTATATTCACCACATGATGATGGATCACAGGCGATTGACTAGAAATCAAATAGCTAATGTTATAAGCATATCCCTTTAGAAAGTTTCTGCTCGTTGGGTGACACGTCTTTTGACGCCTGATAAAAAGCGCACCAGGCTGATCACATCACGGGAAAATCGGACATTGTTTGAGGTTGATCCTGCAGCTGGTTTCTTTCAACGTTTCCTTACCCAGGATGAGTGTTGGGCTCATCACTTTGAGCCAAAGCGACAATCCCTGCAGTAGAAAACACCCTTCCCCACCTGTTCCAATGAAGACCAAGGTCGTTTCATCTGCAGGGAATGTGATGGCCACAATTGTTTCTGTTTATTGACTTCAAAAGTGCCACATTATGAATGGAGAGTACTATATCGAAATTTGCTGAGGCAGTTAAGAAAGTCCATGAAGACCAAACGTCCAGGAAAACCGATGAAAGTGGTCTTGTAACATGAAGACAATGCAACAACACCCAATCGTTGATTTACATTGCTGCTGTGTGTGAGTGTGGCTTGAAACTGATTGAGCACTCTCCCAACAGTTGGCCGTATCTGATTTCGACAACATGAAAAAACTTAGAAGCAGTATCTCAGTAATGATAACATCATATCTGCTGTTGATGCTTTTTTCTAACAGGATAAATAGTCTTCTTTTCACAGTCAGATCTCAATTTACCTGGAAATAACCAATGCAGTTAAGAAGTAAATTTAATACATGCAAGATTTCACAGTTCTAGTATCACTACTTGATAGTGAGCCTTTAAACTTCTCAGCCCATCTTTGTATGAAATAGAAACACACAATACATTAATTTCCCTTTACGTATATCGAATTTTACCAGATTAAAATTGACGTAAAAATTAAGGAAAATTACGTCATTTCCTGTAAGAATTTTTATAATATATTTATATATATGTATTATAATATATGTTTATAAATTCTGTTTATTTTCTAAAACGTTGACGAGTGGATATAATTTCTGCAAAACATTTTACTTTGATTTCTATACATTATCTCTCATGATACCGATCAATTTAATTACAAAAAAGTGTTTGCCTTAAAAGCGTTATCCTCCATAACTATGCTAGTCTACCTTTTTGTTTATTTGTTGTGATATATACAGAAAAATATAGCGGCAAGGATTGAAACAAATGCTTGTTGAAATTGATATAATGAGTTGATATGGACATTTATATAAGTAAATAAAGCAAAATAATGGTTATTTTTATGAAGAATTCGTGCGGTTCAGGCTCCCCAATCATTTGATTACTATTTATGTTTTGATTTCGGTCCCTTCTGAAGTCGTCTCAGTGCCCCCCCACACACACACCTTGCATCTTAGTAGATTTATCGTCTATTATGGGTGAATTGATTATATATATATATATATATATATATATATATATATATATACATGAGTGTTTGTTTGTGTGTGTGTGTGTGTGAGAGAGAGAGAGAAAGGGAAAGATGTAGATTTTGGAGACTTTAGAATGGTTGTTCGCATGTGAGTTTATCTGCACTCATGTCTGCAAGTGAACATTGCGCTGTAGCAATCGTTAGCGTTGTCGAAAGAAACAGGGAAATAATGAGTGTACAAGAAAAAATTGCGAACATAGTGAATATTCGGGAAAGAAGAAGAAGAAGAAGAAGAAGAAGAAGAAGAAGAAGAAGAAGAAGAAGAAGAAGAAGAAGAACAACAACAACAACAACAACAACAACAAGATGGTGGTAGGGGTACTTGTATTCAGTGCTTTAAGGAATTTGAAGAAAAAAGGTAGAAAGACAGACAGAGGGAGTGAGAGAGAGAGAGAATGCTTTAATGAAATGAATTGGTAAAGAAATGAAGAGAAGAAAATATGGAATAGAATCATATTAACACAAAAAGAGACGAAAATAAATGAAAAAATGGAATACAAAAAGAAAGAAAGAAAAAATAATATAAAGAAGAAAATCGTGAAAACAAAATCGAAAGATAAAAAATTGTGTAAGAAAAGATTAAAAAAAGGAAAATTGATAAAAGAAAGAAAGAAAGAAAGAAATAATGAATGAAACAAACAAGAATGAATTATAACGAAAGAAAAACAGAAATCACTCAACATAAACGCAAGAAATACAGAAAGTGAAGAGAAATAAGAAATGAAGAAAAAGGTTGAGAAAGAGAAGACGAAAGAAAGAACGAATAAAAGATAGAATAGAAAGTAAAGAAGAAAAAAGTATACGATAGACACAGGAACAAATGGAAAGATGAAAATGAAGATATAACGAGAAAAAGAAAGAAAGAGAAAACAATGAACAAATGAAAGAACGGTGGATGGAAGCAGGAGGAAAATGGATGCTAGATAAAAAAAAAAAAAAGATTATAGATGTATTCTAAAGACAAACAAGTTTTAACGTAAATCAAGAAAGGAAAAAGATGATAGAGAATGAGCGATTCAAAGTATAAAATGAAAAAGGAAGAAGAGGCGTCATCATGAAAGAAAGAGGAAAAGAAAGAAAGAAAGAGTGAATAAGATCAAAAGAAAGAGAGGCATGAAGGAATAAAAATAACAAAAGGAAAAACAGAAAAAAGAAAAACATAGCTAATGCGCAAGAAGAAATAGGGAAAAAAAGAAAGAACGAGCGTATACGAAAGAAAGAAAGAAAGAAAGAAAGAGAAAAAGAAAGAAAAACAAGCGAATAGAAGAGACGAAAGAAAGAAAGAAAGAAAGAGAGAAGGAAAGAAAGAAGAGCGAATATGAGGTAAGAAAGAAAGAAACAATGAGCGTATACGAGAGACGAGAGAAAGAAAAAGAGAAAGAAAGAAAGAAAGAACGAGCGAATAGGAGAGGCGAAAGAAAGAAAGAACAAGGGAATAGGAGAGACGAAAGAAAGAACGAAGTTAAGAGAGAAAGAACGAACGAGCGAATAGGAGAGACGAAAGAAAGAAAGATCGAGAGAATAGGAGAGACGCAAGAAAGAACGAAGTTAAGAAAGAAAGAAGAATAGAAAGAACGAACGAATGAGCGAATATGAGAAACGAAAAAAGAAAGAAAGAACCAGCGAATACAAGAGACGAAAGAAAGAAAGAAAAAAGCGCGAGAGAAAGAAGAGGAAAGAAGCGATGGAAGTAAAATAATGAAGATTAGAGATGAAAAAAAAAATAAAAAAGAAGAGCATAGAAAGAAAGAAGATATGAGAGAAATAATAAATTCAGCAAAAAAAAAAAAAAAAAAAAAAAAGGTTACAAGAAAGAAAGACAGAAAAATGATTGGAAGGGAATCACCGAAGAGAAAGATCAATAGACTTAAGAAATCTTACTTTCTTGTATGCGAAGTCTCATCTTAGAAAATCATCCTTATTGGCGAAGAATATTTTTCCCGCGCAAATGTCATAGAAGGCGCGCTCAGTTGCCGAGGTCGGCCCGTAATTGGCGCCCCAAGAAGAGGGCGCTCTCTTCGCGAGCGACGCGCCTCCGACTCCGAGTGTCGATCTCTCTGTCACGGAGAAAAAGAACGCCAAAAAGCGAAGAACAAATCTCTTGAAAAGGCCCTCCTAAAGTTGACTCTATTGCAACCCTGGACATGAAATGAAGATGTAGCCATGGAAACAACAAACAAACAAAAAAAAAAACAGCACCAGCAACGACGCCATTAAGAAAAGAAAAGGTAAAGCTTTACATTTAAAGTAAGTTCTTGACTTTTTGGAAACACGATCGGCAATTCCCGTTGCATTCTAAGGAGGAAATACCAATAAAGGCTGAAATGCGCCCTTTTGATGCGAGGTTTTTCAAATGGTATATATATATATATATATATATATATATATATATATATATATATATATATATAATTGTATAAATATGTATATAATTGTTTATTCTAGTAGACATATATCGCAAAAGGAAGGAAGAAGAAAAATTATATGTATGCATCGAGTCAGTGAGAGAGAGAGAAAGAAGAAAACTGAGAAAGAGAAATTAAATGTGTCTCTTCGTGTGTCAATGTTGAATTTAATGCTTCATAACTTCTGAAATATACGAAGTTGAGCTAAATATTTCTCAGCCCAACCAAGTCAGGTCAGAGAAATTAGCTAAACCCATATATATATATATATATATATATATATTCTATTTATATATAAAATATATATATATATATATATATATATATATATATTCATTCTTTTTATAGATAAAATATTTAAGTAAATGCTCTGTTTATAATAAACAGTATTAATAACATTTATCGGCCTGAATGTCCGAGAAATTTTCATAGAAAATATTCGTCCTCCGACAGGAATCGAACCTGCATCCTATATGGAACCGTCATATAGCCTGACGTGCCTTAACCTATTGAGCCACAGAGGAACGTTCGGTTAGCAATATCTAAATATTTAAATATTTGTATCTATAAAAAGAATGTATAAACATAAAAATGTCTTAAAATAATTGTCGGACTTCGCCCATTTCATAATGTGTGACGTGATATGTTTACATTTGGATCCGCTTTCAGCAGATATGAATGTACGTGAGAGATTCATGGGGGATTATAGTTTAAAAGCAGTAAAATCGACCTTGCTAAACGAACGATCCTCTGTGGCTCGATCGCTTAATGCACGTCAGGCTATATGACGTTTCCGTATAGGATACAAGTCCGATTCCTGTCGAAGGACGAATATTTTCTATGAAAATTTCTCGGTAATAGTTATTAATACTGTTTATAATACACAGAGCATTTACTTAAATATTTGTATCTATAAAAGAATGTATAAACATAAAAAAAATGGCTTAAAATAATTGTGGGACTTTGTCCATTTCTATATATATATATATATATATATATATATATATATATATGTGTGTGTGTGTGTGTATATATATACCCAAGTATAGGATTGGTGCATACGGAATAAATTTCAATAACCAAAGATAATATTCTCATAAAAGTGCTCAATTCACATTTGAGCAAATATAATTTATTCGGAATTTTAACAAAACATTTTATAAAATCACTACAAAAATAGCCATTTTTTCAGCACTTCTGGCGTCTTATCAAGTGGGGTGCTGAATGTTGAATAAAGAGTTTTAAAAGGTTCAAATCAACCCAAAATCCGTCGATGGGGGGAAACACTGTTACATAAGCTACAATGACCACTCAGGGGGCGGGGCGTAGGGTTGATTTGAACCTTTTTAAAACGCTTTATTCTGCATTCAACACCATCACTTGATAAGACACCAGAAGTGTTGAAACAAAAATGGCTATTTTTTAGTATGTGCCTAAAGTTAAAAGAATGTGTTATTTTCCGAACGTGGACAACTATTTATACCGGTGTTCATACTCAATTCTATGGAGCTTTTGGCTTTTCCATTTTTCATTATTAGGGCTTCCATAATTTTAAACTTTTTTGCATGGTGATGAGGACATTATACTTGTATTTTCAACTAGTATCTTTCGCGTGGAGTCTGGTAGTTTTTGTGTGTGTTTAAATGAGTACTAATGGATCTATGGTCGGGTAGATATAACGTAAGTCGTCTAGATATGCATGTAGTAGTGTGACCACACGCACACACACACACATATATATATATATGATATAACTATATATAAATATATATATATATATATATATATATATATATATATATATATATGGTAAATTAAATCTAGTTAGATACTTGCCACTTTCTTGCAAAAATTCTGCGAGCCTGTAAAAACGTTAAATTCTATTAATTTTCACACACACATATCTATAAAATTAAAATATACACTTTATATATATATATATATATATATATATATATATATATATATATATATATATATATATGCAAGAATTCCAGAGTATAGGTGTAAAGGACAATATAAATAAAGACAAAGGAAAAATATATCTTAGTCGACGCGTTTCACTCTCTTTGAGACTTTATCAAGGCAAATGCAATTAATAGTTTTTCAAACCTTCAACCACAACTTGGATCTATAATGCCACATTTATTATAAGAGAATGTAAATTACTGAATAAAGTGCATTGACAAACAAATATATTATTTCTGCCTGTATTTCTTTGATGGTGACTTATAATTATTTACATTATTCACATTCGGTCTAATGTCCTCATTTTTGTTTTTATTATCACACTGTTTCGGTTATTGTACTCTCCGGCTTTTTCTCGGTATCTTTTCATTCAAATAACCTTTTCAGGTAATACAAACTGAACCCTTTATTTAATCTCCAGGGGTATGGTGTAGCCAGTCCACTGCATTTGTCAGGATATATCTCCTCTTGTTCTTAGTTAATGATCAGAAACACTTTCCCCGCCTGTAGGAAAAAATTCAGTCGCTGTGTGTGTTTTTATGGGTGGACCCATAGCCAGGAGTGGCTCATGCTGTTGGGGGAGAGTTCTTTGATGGAGTTACCACTTCTGGAATTAGCTGAGGCCAATCCATGAATTTTCTAGATTGCTGACAGATGTGAGCTTTTTTATCGGGTCACGATCTCTAGAATGTAGAATCCAGTCTATCCTACTATTTAACCCATATCTGAGGTGTGGACAAGAGATGAATTCATGCCTTTTCCAAGGGGATTTGCACGTAAGTTAATATAACGAAATCGACTCTCTCCTATTTCTCTTTCTGAGACGCTCTCCATTACACCATCCTCACATCCTCTTGTTTAGTACTGCTCAGATATTGCTCACCTGATTGCCACTTAGTCTTAGTCAGTAGTACAGACTGAAACTTATATTGGTCTATTTCCTCATAAATGATGAAAATAGTTGAGTCCTTAGTGATGTGGTTCTACAGAAGGGTGCTGGCGATACCATGAACATAACAGCTGAGGAAGGGAGGGATTTTAAGAAAATTCGTAAAAGATTGACACTTGTAGTTCGAATCAATAAGAAAGATTTGAAATATATAAAACATAAAATGAGGTAAGCGGGTTTGGAGTATTTGGCACTCACAATGCATACCAAGTTTGGCGAGTAACTCACTTAACGGGCTTGAGTAAATGGATGCCAGGAATAGAGACTGTTAGGAAGAGTAAGGAGACAAACATAGTTTAGAACTAAAAAGGATGTTCTGGAGATCCGTGATCGCCCTTCTCTTGAAAGCCTTCTTAGTTGGAACCGCCATACCATGCACAGAGAAATGACTAATCCTCATTTCTTTAGAACTCCACTAGTAAGAAGGAACAGAGACCCGAGAAGTTGCTTTCCTGATCACTATATTCTTAACCTCTTCAAGTTCAGTGTCAGCTGTTGTCTCTGCTATAACCTCATTCATTAGCGTGCTAACTTAAGTGGCTCTTGCTTGAAATGATATGTCCATAAAATTTAGAGTTTTTAAGGTGCAATTTTCCTTTAGTCGATATCCGAGTTTAAAATATTTCTGTACACGCAATGACAATTTTTCTCAACTCTTTTGGTATAAGAAATAATTAAGTCATTTCTTGGATTGATTTATTGATCATTTTCCGTAATTGTTTTATAAGCTTCATTTGGCTGTTTTTCCCACCTTTATAGCATTTATGGATTTACATTCTTTGACCTGACTCCTGCTTTCGTACTTACAATGGTTTCACTTGTTCACTTGGAACAATCACAACGGTGATGGCCTGTTAGACGACTCTTGTTTTGAAAGTACGTCGTTTCGGTTCTTTTTATTTCAGTAGCAATGGCAAATCGGGAAACATTCTGTCCGATTTTTATGAGCCATTAAAGCTGCTGCTTCTTAATAAGGCATTCAGTAGAGGAGTGCTGTAGAGGAAAGACAAAAACGGATGAAAGTAAAAAGAACACAGATAAGACCAACAGCAGTTCAAATAATCGATTTGAGGTTTCGCTAATATATATATATATATATATATATATATATATATATATATATATATATATATAAGAATGAGCTAGGTGGGAAAATTGGAAGACAAATGTATCAGAAATACACTTTGTGTCAAAAGAATTATTATGGATTGAAGAAGAAAAAGAAGAAAGATTGATGAGCAGGAGTTGAACGAGAAGTAGAAGAAGGATAAGAAGGAAGAGGAAATAGAAGAAGAATGTTGATAAGGACAATGACGAGGAGGTGAATGAAGAGTAGAAAGAAGAGGATTAACAAGAAGTGGAAATAAAAGGACGATGATGACGTGAAGAATAAGGAGTTAAACGAGGAGTAGAAGTAGGAGGAGAAGCTGGAAGGAGGAGGAGGAGGAGGATGATTAGATGAAGAAGAATGAGAAGGAGGTGAAGAAGAAGAAGAAGAAGCAGGTGAAGGAGGAGGAGGATCAGGCAGAGTATTTCGTGGAAAAGGAAGTATAAAAAAGAGGTGAACGAAGAGAAGTAGGAGAAGAAGGATGATGAAGAGGTGAAGAAGAAGAAGAAGAAGAAGGATGAGAAGGAAGTGCAGGAAGAGGACAAGGAGGAGAAAAAATTAGAAGAAGGTTGATGATGAGGAGGAGGGCAATTCATGCTTGAATATATTTATTTATTAAACAATTAAAATAAATACTGTAAAGTTTACAAATCTCTCAGTCGTCTCTGTCAATAAATTTGAATGACCATTATAGATATATGACAATGCTAAATTGAGTCTTGAATGTTTATATATATATATATATATATATATATATATATATATATATATAACACTTTTCTATATTCATTCTCACCCTCTTTATATATATATATATATATATATATATATATATATATATATACAGCAGACAAGCGAAGGGCATCAGTGTCTGTAGCCTAATACGTATGTATTATTTTTTCCTGAAGATTTCATTGTATAATGTTAACTAGACATATCATTAATTAATGCTCCCCATTGAATTATGTGCATTAACAAGTGAGGGTATCAGGTTGAAAAATAAATATTTGCCGTGTAAAATAATTGCTTTTTTCTTCATTATGTTCCGTAATTCTTGATCTATCTAAATATAATTAAGTAGATTTTATGTCCTCCAATCTTACTTGATTAACCGCCTTTGTTAGTCTTTGATGAAATTAGAAACTATAATCATATTTACTGGAAAAGAAAAGAAAAAAAAAACAATTAAGATATGCCATTAATAATAAAGAATTCTGAGTCAAATGTGTTTACTTCCCATATTCACAATGAAATATAGGACGTTGTGGAGAGCACCATTCCTTTAGTGAGAGGACACATAAAAAGAAGATTATTGACTCTCTAGGTTGATAATCTTTGTAGTGTGAAGAGAAAAAAATATGCTTGAAACAGTTTTTTAATATTTGGGACTAACTTCAATCTTTAAAGAAATTCTTTTTTTAGATGGTAACGAATTCTCTTCTCAAAGAGAAATTATAAAGTCGTAAGAAGAACTCTTATCGAGTCAACGTCCAGATAACTAGAGGTGAGGTCTCGATAAATCACCGTGGAGAAGGCAACAGGATCACCCCACTATAAATCCACTGAAATATGGCATTTATTAAGCAAAATATGAAAGCTAGCAGCGCAAAAGAGTTTAAGTCTATTAGAATTAACTCCTCACCCTGTAATGAACGACACGAGCGACAGGTGTCACCTGACTCTCATTCAGCAATTGTTTTCATCAAACAAAAAATAATTCTCGCGACATGTTAGAACATTAAACCACTGTGGCTAGTTGGAAAATATCAGACAGGAAATTTGCAGGTTAAATAGCAACATTTTAGGAGCATGTGAAACATTACAGAGATTTTGTCACAAACACAGAATCATATATGCAGGCGGAGAGAAAATGAAAGAGGAGTAGGACTGATATATGAAGACATGAAGAAATGTGTTCTGGGATACTGTCAGTTTGCTGTAAGAATTCTTGTTAAACTGAAAGGAAGTCTTTTAAAAGTATACATCATGATGCGGATGCAGCGACAGCACAAAGTACAAAAGAAGAAATCGAAACGTTTTACTCGACGCTTGACAACTCCAAAGCTCAGTGTAAATAACAGGAAATTATAATTATCATGGGAAACCTGAATGCCAAACTAGGCAATAAGGAAGGTGGTGAAATAGTCAATTTGAACTAGGGACCCGTAATGAACGCAGAGAAAAATGGGTGTAAGGCGAATGATGAGGTAATAACTAATACCCGGTTTCAAAATTACTCAAGACAAACATGGACATGGAGAAACGAAGGAAGAGAAACGAAAAACGAAATTGACTATATATTTATCAACAAGAGATTCAAAAAGCAGTTTTACACTGCAAACTCTATCCAAATGCCGACTGTGCAAGCGGTCACTCCTGCCAGTTATATGTAAACTTAAAATAAATTTACGGAAATTGAAGAGATGTAAGGCAGCACCCAAATTGCAAAACGACAAATTCTTGAACGACCCGAATCGGAAGGGAAAATATGAAATGAAAAATGAAATTGGAAAATGGAAGTAGGGAACACTAAGAAAAACTTTAGTGACATTAGCAAACGAAATCACCCCAAAGGAAAATAAACGAAGTAAAAAAAAAATGAATGGATGACAGATGAGATTCTTGAACTGATGAAAAGGAGGCAAAAAGCAATGACAAGACACGGAACAGAATAGGGAACACTACAAAAGAAATAAGGAACAGATGCAAACAAGCTAATGGGAAATGAATCAATGAAAAATGTGCAGAAATAGAAAGAATGAGTATCACAAATAAAATAGATCTGAATAAAGAAAAAAAATAAGAGAACTAGCAGGACAAAATGTGCTCATCAACAGAATGCATAAAACCCAAGGACGAAACTCTGACATACAGAAAGAAAAAATACTTCACATACGGAAGGAATATATGGGAAAACTCTTCCATGACGAAAGAGAACAACAGGCAATACATAAAAATATCGACGGAACGGAATTATTAAAAACCGAAGTGGAAGCTAACAGTATCCCAGAACACATTTCTTCATGGCTTCATATATCAGTCCTACTCCTCTTTCATTTTCTCTCCGCCTGCATATATGATTCTGTGTTTGTCAGTGACAAAATATCTTTAATGTTTCACATGACCCTAAAATGTTGCTACTTAACCTGCAAATTTCCTGTCTGATGTTTTCCTACTAGCCACAGTAGTTTAATGTTCTAACATGTCGCGAAGTGGAAGCGGCACAGAGTGAACAGAAACAAGGCTGCAGGGCCAGACGGAATTGTAACAGAGATTCTGGCAACTTTATATGATTTCCGCAGAGACAAGATTACAGAAAGAGTAAATGAAATCTACAGCAGCGATATACCAGAAGACCTAAGCATGTCTATTTTCATTGCACTGGCTAAGAAACCAGATGAAAACAAATGTGAGTTCCATCGGAAAATCAGCCTAATGAGCCATATGACAAAATTCATGATCCGAATTCTGATGAATAGAGCGTGCAGAAGAATCAAGAGAATAAATCAGATAGGACAAGAACAGTGAGGGTTCGTCAAAGACGCTTGAACATGGAACGCAATATATAGGCTTAGAAGAATGTTATCAGAGAGAGAGAGAGAGAGAGAGAGAGAATACAAATGCAGAATGACATATATATATATATATATATATATATTTCTTTTATAGATTACGCAAAACGTTCGATAGTAGAATAATCTATACAGGAGAATTTATACTGGCAGCAAATCGTCTGCACAAGGATACAAAATATATAGAAAAAAATGATAGGGGTGTAAGACAAGGATGTATCTTCTTACTGGACTTATTCAACCTATAGAGTGAAGCAATTCTGAGAGAATTAAATGTCCTACTAGAATTCCTTATTGGCGTCCACAATCTTAACATCCTTAGATATGCAGATGACGCAGTGTTAATAGCAGACAAGTAAAGAAAACTATAAAAGCTCCTACAGAAGGTAGTGAAGGAAAACGTGAAGAAAGTGTTCAACATCAAGTGCAAGGAGACAGAATGCAATGTCGTTAACAAAAAGAAGGAAATCGAAGCTACCGAAATCAAACAAATACGAAAATTTAAATATCTAGCAAGTCATTAAACAGAGGACAGAAAGTGTGACATTGAGATCCGAAGGCTTATTGGGATAGCCATAGTTGCATTCCAAAATCTAAGCGGCGTATTAAGAGACAGAAAAACCTTTTTAGAAACAAAGAAAAATGTACTGAACTGTTATGTGATATCAGTCCTCCTATATGGTAGTGAATGCTGGACAATCTCCTCAAAGATTAAGAAGGCACTTGAAGCAACAGAAATGTGGTTCTAAAGAAGGATGCTGAGGATATCATGGACCGAACATGTGAGCAACGATGAATTTTTAGAAAAATGAAAAGAAAAATGACGATACAGTTGAAATTTCTGGGACACATAATGAAGAAGGAAGGCTTGGAAAATCTAATACTCACATGACATATTGAGGGCAACCGGGACATAGGAAACGAACTTGACGAATATTGATGGCGGAACAGGGTTTAGAAGAAATAACGAAAAATTTATTAAGATCGCCCACTTCTTGAAGAAGAATAAATGTGCTGTACGAAATTAGTAAACAATTACTTTCTGTCAATTTCCTGTTTAATATATTTACAATATTTTATTTTATTCTGCGCTGAAATGCTATGTTATATCAATACAATAAAATGAAGGACGTTGACCTAAGGAATTTGAGAAATCACATGTCATATTGAAGACAAGAGGAGCAAAGAAGAACAAGGTAACCTATCGAAGGAGCTTTTATAAATAAATGGCAGAACAGGGACGGCAAATGATATTCAAAAGACAAACATTATTTAGAAGTAAAAAAGGATTGAAAGTTGTGGAGAGCCATAATCCACCTACCTAACAAGCTAGTATAAAATAATAGGTTGAATAGGGAAAGAGAAGGATAGTAAAAAGACAAAGTTTGTTTCAAGCTAAAAAGAGTAGGAAGTTGTGGAGAGCCATTTCGCCAATTTCCTAAAAGGACAGGGCACATAAAATTATATATTTTTATTTCCAGTTCTGCTTTTTCAAAAATAATCTCAAGTTTCACACACTTTTGTAGAAATTATAATTTAAGTGTTGTCAAGGATTTTTTTAATATTTAAATTTTTCAGTTTGTTAAACAAAACCTTTTCGATTTATAAATGAATCAAAATGTGTTATGATTATCTTATTTATTACTGCCTAAATTTAGATTTTACAAGTATTGTCTGAGGATCCGACAAAGTTGGATCAACTCTCTATCCTCGTTCACGTCAAATTGTCTAACTTTAATAAGAATTTATAGCGCGTTTCATAAATAAATACTTGTGGAACCATAAAAAAGTAAGAAGAAAAAGAAAGAACGTTAAGGAGAAGAAATCAAATGAAACAACGAGAGGAGACAAATAGTATAAAAGAAAGAGAAAATAAAAATAAAGAAGAAAAGAAAGAAAAATGTAGCATATAATACAAGAGAAAGGAAAATTGATTTGAGATAACAAAGAAAAAAGATGAGAAAATAAGCTAGCCGGTAATAAAGTAAAAAGAAAAAGGATAGATATAGATAGATAGATAGGTATAAATAGATAGAAAGAGAGATAGATAGATAGATAGATAGATAGATAGATAGATAGATAGATAGATAGATAGATATAAACAGATAGATAGATAGATAGATAGATAGATAGATAGATAGATATGAATAGCCTGAGAGAGATAGAAAGTAACAGACTGAGCTAGCTAGCTATATAGATACACAGATATGAATAGACTTAGATAGGTAAATAGATAGATATGAACATGCTAACATAGAAAGAAGTGAAAGAAAGAAAGAAAGAAAGAAAGAAAGAAAATGGAACTGAAAAGAGAAAAAAAGAATGAAGACATGAAAAGAATAAAAACGACGCATAGAGTAGAAGGAAAAGAAAGAAAAGAAAAGTCTTCAGAATGAAACATAAAAAAAAACTAACAGAAATGAAAAATAAGTAAGATTAAGAAGAACAAAGATGGACGGAAGGAGGGACGAAACACGTAAAAGAAAGAAAGAAAAACTAAACATAAAGGAAAACGAATATTACAATTACAAAAGGAAGAAGAACGGATGAAAAAGAAAGATGGCAGTTGATTAAAGTAGAAATTAAGAAAGAAATAAAGGAAGAAATAACGAAAGAAAAAATAGGAAAGAAAGAAGTAAAGAACAGTTAAAAAAAAAGGAAGAAACTTAACGAAAATCTTTTAATTAAACAAAGAGAAAAAATTACAAAATAAATCTGGAAAAAATAATCAAGGACAAAGAAAAAAAAAGGAAAAAAATAAAAAGAGAGGCGAACAAATAAAGAAAGAAAACAACTGAAAAAAAAAAGAAAGTAAAAAAAATCAAGAAAAGAAATTGAAGAAAAAATGAGAGAGAAAGGAAAAATGAAAGAAAAAGAAGGAAATAACGGAATAGATATGTAAACAAAAAGAGAGAAAGAATGAAAAAGAAGAAATAGAAAAAGCTGAGCAAATAATGTGAATAAAAAAGAAATCAGGTTAGAAAGAAAGAAAGATAGAAAAGTGGGAGAAAGAAAAATGGTGTAGAGAAAGGACGAAAGAAAAATTCCAAGAAATGAAGAATAAAATTAAGGGAGAAAAAGAACTGGGAAACGAAAAATAATAATAGAAAGAAAAAATGAAAGAAAACGACAATTCAGAAAGAAAGACAGAAAGAAATATAAAAGAAAGAAAAGACAGCTGTACAGAAAGAAAGAAAACGAAAGAAATGAACAAAGGAAGTTGAACAAAGACAGAGACGGAAAAAGAAAAACACACATCAGGAAAGGAACTATGAAAAGGAAGAAAAAAAGAAATAATGTAATTGCGAAAGAAAAACAGTTGATCAAAGAAAAATAATATAAGATAGAAAAAGGAAAAAAAACAATTCAGCAAAGAAAGAAAAAAGAAAGAAAGAAGAAAGAAAGGAAGAAAAAAGAAAGAAAGAAAAAAAGAAAGTCCTCAAGGTAAAAACAAAACAAAAAAAAAAAAACGAAGTAAAAATAGAGCAGAAAAAAAAGAGGTAAAAGAAAATCAAAGCAACTGTTTTTTTCCTGGGTCCCTTGTTCTATTTTGATTCTTATCTTCGGTCTTGTCTGCACACCCCTTTTTACTTCTCACTTCGGTTCGATATTCACCGTTTTCATTGCATTGTGACTGCCTTTTCAACCGGTGCTCAACCGGCCACCCAGCCGTCCACCCGGTCGGTCGACCTTTTACTCCACTCCACCTTCTTGAACACTCGTCGCCCACCTGCACCTTAGCCCATTCGGGGCAAAGAGGCTCAACAGAATGAACTAGAAACTGCAGCCAACAAACAGTGGTAGGGTTGCGATCACGAGAGAGAGAGAGAGAGAGAGAGAGAGAAGAGCGGTAATGGCGACGAACAAGCCTGGCTGACTGACTACAGGGCAGCCAGGCTTGTCGATGTACAAATGATGACAAGGCGACGGCGTATGGCCTTTCTTTCACAAGAATAGAAAACAAGCCTGACAAAAATCTCTATTTCATAAAGTCCGCCCCCACAACGCTGGAGTACCAACTTTCTGAAATCACCACCTGCTCCTCCTCCAGGTCGACTCTTCCCCGTCCCTCTAGCCTCTCTTTCTCTCTCTATCGTCGAAGTTTTATTTATTTTTATTTTACTTTTTGTGGGGCAGGGGTTGTGTCTTTGGTGAAACAAATTCAACGACTCCCTATATTCTTGATTTTTCTCTTTTTGACGATCAAACTTTTTATCGTAAGTCGTCTACAACCCCCCACCACCCCACGCGCCACTCTTCCTCATATTCCTTATGACGTCACTTTTCTTTTTTTTTTTTCGTTTTTATTTTTTGTTGGCTTCCTTCTTTAATTGTCCTGTTCATCATCTGACAATATATAGCATATTGAAGAAATAATAATAATAATAATAATAATAATAATAATAATAGTGTTGTAAAGTCACACAGACTTCGGCTGGACCTGCCAGGTACCTCTGGTGGCAATAATAATAATAATAATAATAATAATAATAATAATAATAATCTGCAATTTCCGCCATGCTGTGTAACATCTTACGAAATGCGTAGATACTACACACGGATTTGACATTTAACTGACATCCCGGGGTGTAGAATGTGACAAACGCAAGTTTAACTTGGGGAACCACACTTGTACGTATATGGGGGAAAACCCTATTGTCCAACCTTCTCTACCAGTATCATAAATGTATTCGAATACGTCGACACTCCCCTTATTAGGACAATGGGATGTGCTGTTTAATGGTTCGGATCTTGCCTCGTTTGAAATACGTCCCGTCATAATTATACAACTTGACTGAGGTGGAACAGTCATTGTAGTTCGAAGACCTAAAATTTAGATTTTGGAATATGGCAAAATTGTTTTGAGACGAGAGCTTTAAACGAAATAGAAAATAAAATAACTCTAATTCTAATTTGAAGCGCTAATCCATACGTACATGATAGTGTAAGTACTATGGTAGTGGGTTGCCAGCATAATGAACAGCCCAAAATGCGAAGCTCTTCTATGTGCTCTGTCCCTTCAGGACTTTGGCGTTTATAGCTCTCCACAATTTCCAGTTCTTTGTAGCTCTTAATAAATTTTGTATTTTGTCATCTCTCTTAAACCTTCTTCTGCCATTAATTTAATCTGCCATGATTTCCTCTGTCGCTCTTACATTCAATCTGTCTTGTGAGTATCAAATTTTCAAAGCAGTCTTTCCTCATTATGTCTCCCAGAATTTTCAACAGTCTCTTCCTGATGTTAAGTAAAACTGCCCTTTTTGTTTCCATTTTCTCTAAAACTTCATCATTGCTCACATGATCGATGCATTTGTAGAACCATATATCAGTTGCTTCATGTATCTTCTTCATCTGTGATTGTGATTGTCCATCATTCACTTAGGAGGATTGATATTACATAAGAGTTAACAACTCTTTTCTTTGTGTTTAACGATATTTTTCTGTTTCTTAATACTTGGCTTAGCTTTTGGGAGGCATCTTTTGCTATCCCAATGCGCCTTATTTAAATATCTGGGATGTGTTTATAACAGAGGCTGTAAAATATGACGCCGAAATCCGAAGAAGAATTGGGATACTACAAGACTTCTTCCAAAAGCCAAACAAAATATTCAAAAATAGAAATGTTTCTTTAGAAACAAAGAAAAGTATCCTGAATAGGCATATAATATCAATCCCCCTATATGGCAATGTGTGGGTGGACAATTTCCTTGCAGTCGAAGAAAAAACTGAGGGATCAGATGTGTGGCCCTACAGAAGGCTACTGAGAATAACATGGACGAAAAATGTAACCAACGAGGAGGTTTATATGATAACAGAAAAAAAACGATACTCAAAGTTAGAATCAGAACGAGACAATGGAAATGTCTATGAATCTTTCTATACATCTACCAAGGTATATACATGTATTAGATCTTTTTCTTTTTTTCATATTTTACACACATGCACGCCTATTTATTTATACCAGTGCACACAGACATACAGACACACACACACTCACACACACATACATATCATCGAGGCTTTATATATATATATATATATATATATATATATATATATATATATATATATATATATATATATATATATATTCATGCATACCACTGTTTAGTTTTGTATTTCTTTTATTCAAACTGATGATGTCAAAGAGAACATTAGCTTTCTCTGGTGAAACGTGTCTTTGATAAAAAGTTTACACTTTGTTTCATCTTCACTTTCATTTTTATATTTGTATACAGTTTTATATCTTATATTTATTTTATATATTTATTTTATATTTTTATACAGTTTTTAAAATAATTTGAAAAAGACAAACATACTGTCGAAAAATATTCAAACACGGTGTCTTTCCTTAAATTGTTCTCTTTTCTTAAGTGTTAAAATAATAATAATAATAATAATAATAATAATAATAATAATAAGAAGAAGAAGAAGAAGAAGAAGACTGCTCTACTAGGAACATCCCATATCTTAAGAAAAGTGCTATCAGTTAAATGCCAATTCTCATATAGGGTCTAAGCACCATAGTTTGGACCCGGCTCTACAGGATACAAAGCAGGATACATGGTATAAAATAATAATAATAATAATAATAAGAAGAAGAAGAAGAAGAAGAAGAAGAGGAAGACTAACAGATGCTGAAATAAAAAATAAAATGAACTGCAACCAGAACAGATGAATCTCCAGAACATGAAATGTAACTAAAAATGGTCATAAAATTACTAACATCACCCACACAACAGATCATAATGAAGAAACTAAGATAAACACCAAATCACTTTGAAGATAATGGTGAAAGTTTAGAAGAGTTAGAAAGGCGTGATTACAGTCTTTTACAAGCAATAAAATGTATCCAAAATACATTGAACCGAAATATTTTACGGAAAGCAAGAATAGCATACAAGAAGCCAAGGAAGAAATCATAAGACATTAGTCAGGAACAAGATATTGAAGTGGAGGAACAAGAACAACACCTCAAATTATAATCAAAACAGCATAGCCACAATACTATTAAACCCTAACGAATGTAGCACTGAAATTAATTCTGGATCAAGTAAACCCACGTATTATGAAGTAATACATGCATCAGCAATAGCAGCAAAACTAAAAATGAAACATCAAAGTAAAAAAAGACATAAAGATTCACCTTGGAAAAGAAAATGGAAACAGACATTGAACAACTTAGAAGTGAATTATCAGTAGTCGATGAATTGGTAAAAAGGTACAAATGTAATGACTAGAAAAGGCAGAAAAATAAAAATAAAATACAAATTTAGCAATGAAAATGAGTTCCTCTCAGTTAAAGAAAAAATAAAGCAAACAATATAACTGAAGGCTCAAAGAGTCAGACGCTATAAAAAAAGATCAAAATTCTACAGACAGAGCAAGATCTTTCAAAATGAGGCGAATAAATTTTACAGAGAAATAGGCAAACAAATAATTGAAATGACAAACACCCCCAAAATGGAAGAAGATTATACAGTTATGTGAAAAAATATAGTCTTGCGCTAAAGAACATAACAAGGCAGCAGATTGGATTGCGAAAATGTAGAACAGATCAAATATAAACCGAAAAAGCTTGAACTAGAATCATAGAAGAGGATGTTGAATGTGCTCTGAAAAAAACACCAGTGAAAATCTCCAGGAATAAATAAAATACCTAAATACAGCACACAAAAAACTATCCAAAAAAAACTTCAAGAAATGGTCAATGACCCTACTAATATTCCGCCACGGGTAACCAAATCAATTTCCTTCCTAAGGATTATGACACAAATGTCCCCAAAACTACAGACCAATTACATGTCTTTCCACTACTTACAAATTGATGACATCTATTTTGACAAAACAGATATATCCTTAAAGACATACTACCCCTAGAACAAAAACGGGTGCAAACGTGATTCTTACGATTAATTATTAATGGGGTCATCTTAGAAAACTGCATAAATACAAAGAAAAATCTCAGTAGTACCTGGATAGATTACTGCAAGGGATACGAGAGTGTAACTCGTTCCTGGATCTTAAAGGTTTTAAATATATACAAAGTATCAACAGTCGTCATCAATTTCATCAAACACACTATGTCGATAATGAAAAACAACACTTCAACTCAATCATATAAATGGAGTCTATAAGTCTAGTGAAATAAACATCTTAAACATTTGTTATGTCCCTAATAACATTAACCAGGGAAAGGATGGAATGAAGCTATAAGATATCACAAAAGAAAATCATCTATTTTACGTGGATGACTTAAAGTTGTATGCTAGGTGTGACAATGAGCTGGAAGGTCTCTTAAAAACAGTAAAATGTTTTGGTGATGATACTGAAACAGAATTTGGTTGGGATAAATGTACTAAAACCACGATTCTATCAGCTTAAATCCTAGGGTAACAATCAAAGATTTAGAGTAAGAAGAAGCTTAAAAGTAAGTTAGTTTAAATGTGAGTAAAGGAATTCACAATAAAGAAATGAAAGAAATAGTCCAATAAGGTTACTATAGAAGGTCGTGACTGATATTAAAAACTGAATTGAATTCTCAGAACAGAATTATGATCATTAATAGCCTTATATTCCAGTGTTTCAATATAGTTTCAAAATCTTGAACTGAACTCTAAATGATATCAGGCGAATGGATTCTAGAAAACAAAGCTTCTTTTTAAGAAGAATCTGGATTAAAAAGTGAAAAAGAATGCTTTATTTTTGGAGCCAAAGACAAGAGTCTTCTTACTAGAAATTTTCAGGCAAATAACATACATAATAGTGTGGATCCAAAATGCAGGTTCTGTGACAAATATCAGGAAACCGTAGACCATCTAATCTCAGGATTTGTCTTGTGCCAAATGAATATAAAATCGTTACGATAGAGTGGGGCAATCTTTACATTGAACAATTTGAAAACACTTTGGAAAAGATGTTAATAAACACTGGTATGGACATCACCCAGCACCAATTACAGAAATAGAAGATATCACAATTCTATAGGATTACACCATCTTTACAGACAGGAAAACTGAAGCAAATAGGTCGGGCATGATTGTTAAAAAAAAAAAAACTTTCCTACTAATTGATATGGCTTGCTCACCGGACATTAAGGTAGCATCCAAGGAATTTGAAAAAAAAAAAACTATCGAAATATAAAGACCTGGAAATCGAAATAGCAAAAATGTGGAAATTGAAAACAAGAAAAGTACCAGTCATAGTAGGTGCGCTTGGAATGATAAAAAAGGAATACAACAATACATTGCAAAATTCATTGGAAATTCCAGCTTTAGAGAAATACAGAAAAATGTCTTGAAATGTACAGCCCACAAACTAAGAAGAACTTAGAACGGTAGTTGGGAAAACATCATGAAATGTAGCCATAACAACACACCATTACCTGACGTGGGTCTTCCCACAGACTTGGTAAGTAGTGTGACCATTACAGAAATCGAAATATAATGATAATGATAATAATGATAATCAAGGTTTTGTGAGATTTCAACAATCAGATCCACAACAAGTCGGATATCACTGTCGTTGAAAAAGAAACAAGAAAATGCCTTCTCAAAGTTGTCGGTGTTTTTGTCGACCATAATATCAAGGTCAAAAGAATCAACACGTTTGGGTAATATATCGAGATCTATTTGGAAGTTACCAGAATGTGAGGCGTTTAGGACATGTCGATTTTGAAAGCATCGTATTGCACACCTTTTAAAAGTTGGCTTTTGACATCATAAATAAGATGACGAAATATTGTTTTCTATTTTCTTACCAGTTTTGAGGCAACAAATT